CCCTAGGAATTATCTTGTCAGCCTTTATGAAAACCAATAGACCATAAGTACAAGGTTTTATTTCTTGACTCCCAATTCTGTTGCATTTGTCTATATGTCTATCTTTATGCCAGTACCATACAGTCTTGATTACTATAGCTTTGTAATAAATTTGAAATACAACTTTGTTATTTTTTTTCAAGATTGTTTTGGTTATTCCGGGTCCCATATGAATTTTAGGATCAGCTTGTCAATTTCAGCAAAGAAGCTAGCTTGAATTTTGATAAGGATTATACTGAACCTATAGATCACTTTGGGGAGTATTTCCATTTCAACAGTATTAAGTCTTCCAATCTATGAGCATGAAATGTCTTTCTATTTACTTGGGTCTTCATTAATTTCTTTTAAAGGTATTTTATAGTTTTTTAGAGAATACGTTTAGCATATCATTGGTTAAATTTATCCCTAAGTATTTTATTCTTTGTGAGGCTATTGGAAATGGAATTGTTTTCTTAATTTCATTTTTTGGGTTGCTTATTTTCAGTGTATGGGAACACAATTGATTTTTATATATTGATCTTGTATCCTTCAATCTTGCTGGACTCATTGAATAGTTTTTTAGTGGATTCCTTAGGGCTTTTTATATACAAGATCATGTCATCTGCAACCAGCTTTTAAAAATAACAACCTTTCTACTACAACTGTACTCTGTAGCCTGGGAAATTTATTAACTTGGGGGAAATTAGTTGACTTTGAGGTTATATTTAGGAAAGAAAAGTTGTCACTTTGTAGTTGTCTTTTTGTCACTGAGAAAGAAAAATACAGCAGACTTTTAGGCTCAGAACATTTGTAGAGAAAGCAAAGTCCCACAAATAAACTCAAAGAATCCTTGAGCTTATTTGGTGAAGTCTTGCTTTAAATAATATCACCATTATCGGTATGTTATGGGAACTTCCTATAATCCTTCCAAACATAATTTGTTTGGCACAGACTGAAATAACAATGATTATACTTTAAGAGATAAGCATTCTAATTTGTTTTTACTTTAAGTAGGATTGGGTGAGCTATGAAATATATGACCTTGAATGTCCAAAATATGTATCCAGTGCTTTATTCATATTCCAGTGCTAATTCAGTTTTGCTTCTTTGCTTCTCTGACCTCAACCTGGTAAGATTTTAAGAACTTGTGTGTTAGGCCAGGAGAGACCTTCTTCTAATTCTTTTGAAGTGAATGATAAATCTGCCAAGTAATGCTTATTTGAAAGCTGTCAGCAAGTGAGTTATGAGTTATAGTTATGTATATAGTACACTGAACTGTAAGTTACCAAGAAAACCTAAAACACTTTGAGTTTCCTCTTTTCTCTCCAGGAGTACAAGTTAGGTTTGCAAAAGTCAGGAAATGGTAAAGGTTTAGTGATAGGATGGCCCTAAGGTTGACGCCTGGAGTTTTTCTTGGTAAATCTCATGGAATTTTCCACAGAAGCCTGAGTACAGAACAGAATTTCAAAACCATTTTGGTTTATTTGTTTCTGATTTTCCCACTATAAGATAGGAGGCATATTCTTACCTTTCATTGCCTCACAAGGCATGGAGAAATCTTAAACAGTACAGGTCTATAGAGCTGACAATTTGTAGAGTTGAGATTATCTTAGGGATCGCATACTGCTCTCTCATGTAGTGTGACTAGATTTCAGTACTTCAGGCTGACATTTGCATGAGAGGTGAGCTCTGTGGAATAGTGGAAAAGGCTCTAGCCTTAATACCTTCTGTTACTTTCTGTGGGCTAATACCTCCTGTTACTTTCCTTCCTGGAAAGGAAGGACCTCATTTTTGACAGCTGCCCTATGATTATTACATTACCACTTAATTTCATCAGGATGCTTGAGGGAAAGGAATATTTATTTCACCGGAATGCAGAAAAATGGCCAGAAAGCCATTATGGTTTGTATAGTATTTCTCTAATGTTTTCTTGTACTGTAAAATTTTATTTACAGTGTAAAAAATTGTGTTTTTTCTTTTGCATCTTTTTCATTGGAACATCAATTCTCATTGGATAATTTGTTGTTCTATATTAGAAGATTGTAGGAGCCTTCCTTAAACCTCTGTTGAGCCTGCTTTACATAGATCTATAGAATTTGATAACTGGACAGGAGCTACAGATTATCTGAGTTAATATCTATTTTTACTACTGAAGACTTCCACATTCATAGCCATGAGAACAATACCTGGCACAGTGCGAGAGCCTATAAAATATCAGCTACCATTTAGTACAATCTGAACCCATTCTTTGAATTTGAATTTGATAATTTCTTCTCAGGTGTTTTAGAGCCGAAGAAAACTTGTGGAGTCTCCCTCTACCTAATTCTTTTCACTGAGGACCACCCCTCCATCTCCGCACGTCCTCATGGAGTCTTGCCTTTTGTAAAAAAATTCCAATTCTTGATTCATTTCATTTTTCTATGTTCTATGTCCTTTTCCCCCATAGAAGTAGAGAAGACAGAATAAATTCAAAGAAATTGAGGGTTGCCCTTTAAAACTTTTTATTTTGCTGTCAGGGCCAGCCAGAGGTTTTCTGCCACCTTTCATAAAATTTATGCCTGGCATAATTCTGATTTTTACTACCTTCTCTGTGCAAATACACACCCAACCTTAAAGCTGGTGGTGGCACTACTGTTTCTTCATGGCAAGACTTTAAAATTTTCTGGAAACTTGAAACTCATGGAATAAAATCTTGTGGGTGTCATGGGGGTGGAAATAGGAAATTTGGGGGAAACAGTGGAAACATGTGCCAAAGTTTTTGGCATCCTTTATAGGACTAACGAACTTTGCTCTTTTTTCTTATTTTAGACACAGGTAAAAAACAAGGTATCAGGCACAGTTTACTCATAAAAATAAGCAGGTTTAGTAGTTATATTTGACGATGTGAAGGCCAGGACAGATTTCATTAATATAATAATAACCTGTATTCTCTCTAACCTCCAAACACACACTTTTGGGAAGGTGGTAGGAGGGGGTAGAGAGGGGCGGGGAAGGAGGAGGAGACCAGCAAATAAAAACATGAAGCTTTAGAAAAGTAAGGGTTTTCATATTGTTGTCTTCTTTTCTCTGTCAGTCCTCTTACAGTTTTGTAGTAGAGGATAAAAAGAGGTGAAGAATCAATATTAGCACATTTGGTAGCCAATCTTAAAATGGGATAATTTGAACCATTTGAGAACTTATTTCAAGCTAAACGTATGCCATGGGAAGTTAAAAAATTGGGCTGCTGGCTTTTCCTCCCACCACCTTTGTCTTCAAGCGTGGCTTGATAAATAGTGGAAATTTCTAAAGTTCAAAAAAGGTCTTAGTGCTGTTGAATATGTGCTTTAAGATTTATCTAACTGATTTCTAAATCCTCAAAAACATTTCAATAACTTGATAAAGGACTGCATTTAGTGTCATATGTGTTTCTGTATGCACAGGCCTGGGCAAAAGTAGGTTTATACTTGTAGTACACATAAATAATACAGTAGTTAATAAATAATAATACAAGAACAAACTCTGTTTTTTGTGTACTTACAACTGTAAACCTGTTTTGGCCACCCTTGTATATGTTTCCTGCTACTGAAGATTGAATTATATCCATTATGCCTAGAAAATAATTTTTGTTGAAACAAAACATATGAGATTACGATATTAGATATATAGTTTATTACTTTGATTTAGTTTCGTACTGCCTTTTACAGGTGTGTGTGTGTGTGTATGTGTATGTGTGTGTGATGTTTTCCCCCCTTTATATGGTAGGATTATTAACTTTGATTTTTTAACTGACTCCATGAGGATTCCAACTTTTATTTCTGCCATGGTTTTATAATCTGTGTGGGTTTTTGTTTTTTTTTGAGTTGAGTTACCTTTTATAAGAAGAAAGTAGCAATGTCCATTTAATAGCAGATTTTATAAGGGCGAACCTGAGTGGCTTTGTTTTAATCAACCTTTCTTTTCTCTTTTCAGAGGACGTTAAACAAGTCTTTGAACAGACCACAATTCATCAACGTATCCCATTTAACTGGGATTCAGAATTTGTGCAACTACATTTTGGGAAAGAAAGAAAGAGATGCCTGACATACGCGGAATTCACTCAGTTCTTGCTGGTGGGTCTCTTGAAAAGAGTAAATAAATGAGACTGGGGTCCTGGTTTACTTTGGAACTCTGGACCAGCCCATCCCATCTGGAAACGTTTCTCCAGCAGGGTGTAGAATGGGCTCCTACAGATTGGGTGGGAGCCCTTTCTAGGAAATCAAGTGATTTGATCAAAGATCATGTAGGTCAGAAGGGGAAAACTTGAAACTTCAACTCTTGACTATGACTGGTTCCACTGCTATTTACCAATACTTCATTTTCCCCTGAGAAATGGGTAGATGTCTTTTTTTTTTTTAAATATATTTTATTGATTTTTTACAGAGAGGAAGGGAGAGAGATAGAGAGTTAGAAACATCGATGAGAGAGAAACATCAATCAGCTGCCTCCTGCACATCTCCCACTGGGGATGTGCCCGCAACCCAGGTACATGCCCTTGACCGGAATCGAACCTGGGACCTTTCAGTCCACAAGCCGACGCTCTATCCATTGAGCCAAACCGGTTTTGGCGGGTAGATGTCTTTATTAGCATCTAACAGTACTATTGTTTCATTTGAGGCCTTGCATAGACAAGGCCCAGAGTCTGGAACTTGGCTGCATGTTGGAGTTACCTGGCGAGCTTTAAAACTGTCATTGCTTAGGCCCCACCTCTAGAGAGTAGATTTGGTTTGATTTGGGGTGGGGGTGGGGGGTGGGGAGGAGGCAGACAATCTGGGCATTAGGACATTTCAAGCTTCTCAGGTGCTTCCTTTGAGAACCACTGTTGAAAGGGCACCTGCTGTCCATGTCCAGGGTTGAACATTTCTCTAGGAGTTGTCGACATTTCTCTAGGATGTGTCTGGCCTCGTCACTCCTGCTCCCCCCCCTCGCCCCCCCCCCAATGTGATCGTATCACTAGACCACTGATGATGCCAAAGGAAGAGTAGTAAGAAAACAGGATTATAGTGTACTTTTCCTTTTGAAGCATACTTTTTAAAATGTTTTTTTAACTATGACATTAACATTTAGCCCCAGACACCATTACCTACTTGTGGGTCTGTATGATAAACCACTCTTTCTTTTGGATTTTTAGGCATTTTTTTTTTGTTTTTCTAACAATTAAATTTGATATTTTATTAAATGTAGTATTTTATAAATGTTTTATTGATTGAGTTTTTGAGAGAGAGAGAGAGAGAGAGAGAGCGAGAGAGAGAGAGACATTGATTTGTTGTTCTACTCATTTATGCGTCTTGGCTATGGAAACAACACTCTAACAAACTGAGCTACCTGGCCAGGACTTTTAAATGCAATAGTTTGAAAGAGTCATTTAAAGAGATCTGTTTGCTATGTTAAATTCAAGGTCTTGAGGAAAAATTTTGCCAGAGAAACCACCTTCTGTTCTTTGTCACTGGTAATGTCAGCAGCAGGTACCCTGATGTCCCTGCTTCTCTTGTGTGCCCGAGACCTTGTCAGAGCCTTCTGAGAAGTGGGTGGAAACAGATTCGGGGTGGAGGTGGAGGTGGAGGATCCTTGGGGCTCACACATACACTGCCATGTGCTCATTCAGTCAGCGATTTGTGGCATCCATACCTCCGCACCAGCATATGTGATAGGTTGACTTTAACAGGTGCTTCTCATTTTGACTTTCACTGGTGTTGTTATGATGTATGAAGGTGTCATGCTGTTTATTCTGCTTTTATTTTCCTCGCTTTTGGAACTTTACAACACGATGTCTTAAACCTGCTTTTGTATTATTCTTTAAAAAACATGGCCATGTCTATGAATCCCCATGGGCAGTTCTATATCAACATAAACCTATGTAAATAACTCAGGTGGAGAATGGAATTTAACTTGGATTTTTGCTGTTGTGTATACAAGACACTGGCATGCAGTTAGAGGGGGTATTCATTTTGATGAGGAATAATTACAATAATGCTATTGAGACAAATGCCTCAAATTGACTTTATGGAATACAGCCTAATTAACTTTGAGTCTTAATAGGATGTTAGCAGTAGTAAGGCTGATCACATTTTTCTTTAAGCAAGCATCAATTACGCTGCATTGAGTCGACTGTCTACCACTCCCAGCGGAGTCTAGGTCTTTCTCAAGATGTGGAGAAGTCAGTCAAAGATGAGATGACTCAGGGATAACTGATGAGGTTTCCTGCTTCACCGTGTAGGGCATTCACTAGATTTTGACTCCACTCTAATGTTGAATGGACCCATCCACAGTGTCCTGCCTAGGATGGTTTTGACTTTGTAGCCCAAATGCACATGCTCAACTTTTACTAGGCTCAAATAGCTCAGGTAGGGCCTGTTTTTATGTCCCACTCCAGGCCCAGATTGAAAGGAAGGAAGGGATGCATCATAATAGACTTTATATGAATGCCAATGGAATGCCAGTT